TAACACTTTTATGAACATTATAAACATTGTTTATGAATATATGAAATTAAGTCTCTCTCAGAAATAATTCATGCTGGCTTAATGTTTTGACCATGAGTATAGAGACAATTGGTCAGCCAAAGGTTCATTGAAGGAAAATAAGTAAAAACAAAAGAATGTAAGAAGAAAAAGGGAGGTCAATCTATACAATCTATACAATGTTTCATGGCAATTTTTTTTATTTCTTTCTCAGCCATGACTACATTGTGGAAGAAGATGTTTTCAGTGGCTATACTCTACAATTCTTAAACCACTTTACTAGAAACTGTTTATTTTCTTCTCTAGTTTATCTTTCAGGATGAGCTTAAAAACATTTTGATTTGGACAAGCTTCGAATTATTGAGTTTTTCTATTGCTAGTTTTTTAGGGCAGTGGTCACCACCTTTGCAGCTTGTTTGGCCCGGCTGGGGGGAGGAGAAGGGAACTGGGCTGCGTGAGTGGCGGGCTGGCATGCAAGCTTGTGCAAGCATGCAGCTCAACTTGCGCAAGTGCCCACGAGCCCGCTGCTTGTGCAAGTTGAGCTGTGCGCATCCTCCAGCCAGCCATTTGCACAGCCCAGGGGTTGGGACCCCTGTTCTATGGCACAATTGTATGAAAAGGCAGAATCCTTCTCTCTCACTCAGTGTATCTGAGAAAAGAGAAAGATACTTCCAGAAAAATCAAGCATTAGGTCACGGGTGTCAAACTCGCCATGTCATGTGATGTGTCGCGACGTATCGTGACTCTTTTTGCATTGCCAGCAATAGGGTGGGCACAGCTTTGGTATGATGAAACTGGCCCATTGGCCGGCAGTTTGACTCCCCTGCATTAGGTATTAGAAAGTACTCTTATATCACCTGGATTTGCTGATACAAGGCCAATTAGGAAATAAACCTCTGTTTGGTTGTCAATGACAGACACTCGCAGATACAGAACTTTTATTATACACATTAGAAAACTACAACATTACATTACTTTTCAACATAATCACCATTCAAATTGAGGCACTTGTCATAACGTCTTACAAGGGTTGAAATTGCTTAGTAGTAGTTGTTCGGTGCCAAATCTGGGCTATCGGTGTGTGTGATCAAAAACATCCCAATTGATGGTTGAACCATACTCCATGAACTTCACTAACAGTACTCCTTTGGCATCTTCACATTTGGTGAGTGTGGTGTTGGTTCACCATAATGCTCTTCCGCACACCACTAGACACCCCAAGAACTTTTGAAGCAGTTCCTTTGGGATGTTTTTGATCAGCCCCCCCCCCCAGCCCAGATTTGGTGCCAAGCAACTACCACTAAGGAATTTCAAACTTTGTAAGACGTTATGACAAGTGCCTCAATTTGAATGATGATTATGTCAAAAAGTAATGTAATGTTGTTTTCTAATGTGTATAATAAAAGTTCTGTATCTGCGAGTGTCTGTCATTGATGACCAAACAGAGGTTTATTTCCAAATTTCCCTCATATTTATTGTAATGAAAAAGCATATGGGGTCATTTTTATATAAAAGAAGTAGGTAATCTGTATTTTAGCTGACCCATTATGATTAGTAGTCAGAGGTGATATGAGTTACAATTCAAGATCAGCCCACTTACATCATAGGCTATTAACTATATGCATATTACTTAAATATAATATGCCCATCTGCATCCAGGAATTTAATATCTTTGAACTACTCCATGTATAATCAGAGGATTCTACTAGATTCACAGCTCCTGCTCAAAGATTAGGCGGCAGTCATGGCCAGGACATTCTTTGCTCAACTTTGTGTTGTGAGCCAGTTACACCCTTTCCTGGATATGGAGGCTTTCCACTTGGTCATTTATGCCCTGGTCATCTCCCATTTGGACTATTGCAATGCACTTTACATGGGGCTATCCTTGAAAAAATACATGGAAGCTTCAGCTGGTACAAAGTGAGACCAATCAAGCAATCTTGGGTTCCCAAAGACTGGCACATATAATATCAGGCCCAGCACATGACCTGCATTGGGTGCTAGTCTGCTTCTGGGTCCAATTCAAGGTGTTGGTTATGAATTTTAAAGCCCTACTCTCAACTCAACAACGAACCTGGCTGAAGCCATCTTGCTTGTTCTAGGTTGCCACAGGAATAGGAGGGGGGAAGTGGAGGGTTTCCATTTGTCTAAACAATTATTTGTCCTCTGGGAACCAAGGTCATTTCAAAGAGTCGGATGAGGAGGTTGGGTGTACTATTAGAAAGCCCGCCAATCTATTTTACTGGGACACGTAATTGACTGTCTAGTATTGGGGTGGGAAGTTTAACTTTGTAATATGTAATTCTTTGGAGGCAATTTCAGACTTGGTTTCACTTTTGATGATGCTGATACTTTGTAACCAATAAACATGTTCTTTGAGGAAGCTTCTAGCCTCGGAGTTCTGATTTATCTGGTCTCATCTATCGGAACCATGACACCTACATGGAATAGGATCAGGTTGCTTACAGAACCATCCGTTACATCAGCCCATCCCAACTAGTCAGACAGGGAAAATATGTTGTGGGCCCCATCAATTAAAGAAGTATGACTGGAATTCAATTCAATTCAAGACAGAATTAAAATACAGTTATAAAATAACTTAACCGGTATCTTATAAATGAGAATTAAAATACAGTTATAAAATAACTTAACCAATATCTTATAAATGAGATCCAGGATGTATGTTAAATTATAATGTAATTATTAAAATTATATTAAGTATGATATCTAAAATTACAACAAAGTAAAGTAATTCAGGAAGAAAGCCTTCTTCCCCATTGCCCCCAGAGGTGAGGCAGGTCCCCACTCTCCTGGCCTTTTCTGGAAGGGCATAAAAACATGGCTCTGCTGCCTTGTTTGGCACTCACAGAGGTCCAGTCAGATATTTGTATGACATTTCTCTTTTGTTTTGGTTTGGGGGTGGCGGTTTGGCACCTTTGAGCCATTTTTCAACTACTGGCGACTGCCTGGACAAACCCCTGCAGATTTCGTGGCAAGGGTTGAGAGGATGACTGGCACAGGGTCACTCAGCTGGCTTTGTGCCTAAAGAGGAACTAGAACTCATGATCTCCCGGTTTCTAACCTGGTACCTCAACCACCACACTAAACTGGCTCTCAGTTCGTAATTAACATTGTACTAACAATATTATTAACCCTTGAGACAGAGTTGTCCATAGTGTGTTGAAAAAAAAGTCAGCTAAATGGTAGTTTTGATTATTGCCATCAACTTGACTTTTTGACTTTCCCCCCAGAAAACCCCTACCACAAAGCAAACAGGATTATTGGGTACTCCTAACATCATAGTGATGCTATGAAACTAAATAGCCTAAACCTGATGCAGACTTGCTCCCACCCTGCAAATCAATAATGCTCACACTAAGAGGAGTAGCAGATGTGGCCTTTAACTTCCCCAAAGTATTTAAAGAAATAGAGGCTGGATGTTTTTTTTTAGAAATATTTGGCCAGTTTGGGTTCCTGTTGCATTCACCACAAATATAATCCAGAGAAGGCCTGAAGCTGTAGCTTGCTTAGCTTTTGTCTAAATCCAGCTCCGACTTCACTGATACAGATAAATGACATTCTTGGCCCAGTCTATAAAAGATTTGCAACTGCTTTCTTTCAGAATGATTTTCATCTTCCTAGTCTAGCCTACAGCTCTGATATCTCGCGGTAATTGCTTATCCAAGTAGCAACCAGGTAATCCCATTAAGGTTATGCTCATTCAGCGTGATCCCGTGGATATTTCAGCAAGTCAGAGGTATAGTGAATTATTTGCAAATGTAAATATAAGAAAGTTGTGGATTCAATAGCTTGGGAATCCAGGCAAGGAGAGTAAAAGTAACTGAAGTCGACCTTGTCAAGAAATAGGGATCTGGACTTGTATATTTCCAGATCCCTTTCTGCTTCTGAACCATTCCCCAATTAGTTGCCTTTATTTTCAGCTCTTCATACGCAGATGGAAGAGAGAAGTTAGTTCCTTTTCTGCTAATCTACTACACTTGAAAGAAAGTTATACTCTCCCGCAGACAAATCTCTTCTTTTGCTTCATTTCTAACCCTATTGATGAAGGTGGGGGGGGGGGAGAGAGAAATCTTGACATTGTTACATTTGTAGAAGACGGTGGAGCTGCATGTGGTGACAACTGGGGCCGAATTTGGGAGACAACTCTCTCCAAAGGGCAACCCGCAGACACAAAATGAAAGTGCCTTGAAAAAGGTGGGTTTTTTGAGAAAAGAGCGGTTGGTTGCAGAGAATTCAGGCGAATATAAATGAAAGAAAAGGGAGTCCTCTCCAAGCTGACATGGGGTAGCTCTGTCCTCGTCTTGCACCTGCTCGAACATCATTGCGGAGAGCGTGGATCCTACAATCGCTATGACTAAGCGCTTGGTTCCCGTTAATGCGTTGGGTATTTCCACCGGAGGCGTGAATATTAATCCCAGCTCCCAAGAAGAACGGTCGACGCTTCTCGCCTTTTGTGTTTAGAAATAGCCACAAGCCCTGTGTCTCATCTGAAGCGAAAGCAGATTAGGCGGCTCACTTTCCTTAGAAGAAAAGGATTTGGGAGCCCAGCGGGAGCTAGAAAGTCTAATCCATTTGCGGCGGCTACCGTAGGTTTTCTGCACGGGGTGCAAGCCTAACTTTGGCAGTGACCGGAAAAATTACAAACAAGCGGGTCCAGGACCGGGAATTGCAAGTTAATGGGCTATCTGTCCTAAAATCCACGAATTCCACGTCGTCGGGTTAGCTATGTCCGGCTTTTGACGTGTTTGCAGCGGCTCACAAAGCCCGGGCAAAAAGTGAGATCTATATAAAATGCGTCGTTTTGTGTTTCCCTTATCCCTTTTCCAAGAAATCTGTTTCTCCTCTCCGCGGATCGCAGCTGTCGGGCTACTGGTTTGGAGAAGTGGCTTTCGCTGTTTGTGGCTTTCCTGCTTCCCAAAGACCCCTCCCTCCCTTTAGAAAACGCTCCAGCAAGGCACTGCATGGGATCCACCGTGAAATTATTTTTGGACCACGCCGAGAAGGATCCTTTGGATGAAGAAGCTTCGCGTATTTACTACTGCCAAGGCGGCTCACTTTTGGCTCACTTGGGAACCTCCGCCGTAACTGGTGGGGCTAATCAAACGACAGACTCCGCCCCCTCTTCTTTTTGTCGAGCTCGATTCCGGGCGGTGCGTTTTCTTCGCAACAAATACGGAAATCGTTTAGGATTTCTTCTCTCAGGACACTTCCTCCCCCCCCCCCCATTTTCTACCCGCCTCGAGATTTTCTGACGACCTCTCATCTAAATACTTAACGCCGCAGAGCTTCCCAATGAAAAGCAGATAGATCTGCCCAGTTGCTTCTTGGGGAAGGCTGCAAAAGGTTTGGTCATTTTTCCACTGG